TTCCCCAGAAGAATGTCACTCGGAACTCCCCCAGCTCCTAAATTTTCACTTTAAAATGTGCTTGATGCTTCATCTGAATTTTGGGTTGTCTTAAAAGTGCACATACTGAAGTTTATTACATGCAGGTAGAAGAGACTAAAATGCCTACTTGGGAGAAAACTCTGATCCTTTGTCTCACTGGGATGATTTTATGTTTAATGTGCTTCTTAAAATAGTAGGATACAAATTAGAGATTAAAGGACTATTTATGAGACTAGACCTAAATTTCTTAAACTGGAAGAAATTTAAGTTATAATTTTTTTTTTTTAAGCTGAGCCATCCTGCCACTGGTTGGCAGCTCAGCGGCTGCTCAGCTCGGGCCCGGAATCAAACCGCTGTTGCTCAGAGCGAGCTCTTAACCAACTGAGCCACTCGGCTGGCCCAAGTTATAACTATTTAAGAAGGACTTTAGGTTGTTCTTGAAATAATAAATGGTCTATCTTGTATTATCTGGTATTAATGTTTCCTTTATACTCCGCAAAGTTTAAAGTTTATTCTGTCAAATTTAGCCTATTGATTTTCCGTCTGTTGTTAATGTTCTTTACTCTTTACCAGCACACACTTACACGTGCATGCACACACATACACTCTTTTTCTTCCTTGTTTAAAGAAATGCTGGAAGGAATCAGAAACCGCTAACACCTAGGGGTGTGTGTGCTCATGTGATGATAGAAATTAGGTATATGGTGGAATTGAAGGGACTGTTGACCATATACCTTTTAATATTACCAAAAATTAAACTATATGAATATATTATATAAAATATTAAAGTAAGGGGGTTCATGATTATTATTTTAAGTCTATGCCCATGGTAGCATAGTAAGTTGAAAATATAGGAAACAAGGAAAAATTATCACCAACAATCTTAACCACCTACAGATAACATCTGTTACTGTTTTGTTATAAATTGTCTTAGTCCAAAAGAAAATGCATGTTTATATATCAAATTTGTACATTTTGACAAAATAATTTATATTTTATAACCTGCCTTTTGTTTTTTTATTTTTATTCCTTTTAAAAGATTTTTATTGGGGAATTGGGGGATGGGAACAGTGCTGGGGAATTGGGAGAAGGGGAACAGACAAGTTGCTGTCCTTTTGTTCTTCAGTCTAGTAGTGTGGAGGACGTTGCTTCACTGGCCCAAGTTGGCACCATCATTGCACTCTTCCCGGGCGAGGCAGATCAGTCGCCAGCTTCTGTACGGCCGCTCATGGCGGCTGCTGGCCTCTCACGCTGGCTGCTTGCTACACATGGTAGCCCGTGGCAACCCACTGCAGCAGGGCCTGCAGCCTAGCCATCACCGGCGACTCACGGCAGCCCAGCTCCAGGTTGAGCCGTTGTTCAGCATCTTAGCTGTAGAGGGCAGTGTCACTGGCCCTCATATATGGGATCCGAACCAGGGCCCTCTGGCATCCCAAGCCAGCTCTTAACCAATGTGCCACTCGGCCGGCCCTATAACCTGCCTTTTAAAATTTAACAATATATTCTAATTTAATATAACTATTGTTGGATATATATTGGGTTGTCGGAAAAGTCATGATGTATTTTGTCTGTTTTTCAAAGGTCGTTTATTATAAAGAACAATGATCAATCAATGATATATTGCCCGTTTTGTTCGATAACCTTTTGCCATCCTTCAGTGGGCTTCATAATTCTTTGTTCATAGAAGTACCTGTCTTTATTGCAAAAAAACTGAACAAGGTGCTGATTTTCAGCCTCATCTGGATTGAACATTATACCACACAAGGAGTTTTGAAGAGAGCGAAACAAGTGGAAGTCTGACGGCTCAAGGTCAGGCGAGTATGGTGGGTGTGGCAACACATCCCATCCAAGCTCCAGTAATTTTTGGCAGGTGATCAAACTTGTGTGTGGTCTCGCATTGTTGCGATGGAACACAACTCCTTTACAATTAACAAGCTCTGGATGTTTCTGGATGATGGATTCGTTCAAACTGTCCAATTGCCAACAGTACGCATTCGAATTGATTGTTTTGTTCCTTGGTAGGAGCTCGAAAAACACGACACCTTTAAAATCCCACCACACTGAGAGCATAACCTTCCTCTGATGAATGTCAGCTTTCAGTGTTGTTTGAGGCGAATCATCACGTCAGGACCAAGACCATTTGCGCACCACATTGTTGTAAACAATATACTTCTCATCACCAGTTATCAGTTGCTTTAAAAAAGGATCGTTTTCCTCACGTTTAATGAGCATATTGCAGATGTTTATATGCGCTGTCAAATGAACTTCTTTGAGTTCATGCGGAACCCAAATATGGAGCTTGCTTATGTATCCCAGCTTCTTCAGGTGGTCGTGAACGCTTGAATGATGGATGTTCAATGTTTCTGCAATCTCTCGTGTTGTGTAACGTGGGTTTGACTCAATCAATGCCTTTATTTTGTCGTCATCAACCTCAGTGGGCCCCCCTGACCGAGGAACATTGTTGAGATCAAAGTCACTAGCACGGAATTTCGTGAACCATGATTGGCACTGACGCTCTTGTAGAGCATTAGCACTGTAAACTTTATGCAACTTTTCACAAGCTTGACGCACGTTCTTCTCTTTATGGAAGAATGCAGTTTGGTCTTCCATCTTCAACTTGTTGTAAAATCTCCAAAACTCAACCAAATTGCTCAATTTTTATTTTTTTTTTAGGATGAACTAGAGCTGTCAGCTGTCAAATGATGTAGTAATAAGATAGGTGCAAATGACTCTAGTACTTCCAAAAATGAACTAGTGCCATCTGTCGCAAACGTGCATCATGACTTTTCTGACAACCCAATAGATTGTCTTAACGTTCTCTGGCGTAATTCCTTGTAGGTATATCTTCACATATCTACCATGGTTTCTAGATGTAGAATTGTTGAGTCAAAGACAGTTACTTTTAAGGCGTAGTCAGATTGCCTCCTGGAAGGGTAGTGCTCATTGCACTCATAATGTGTATAAGAGCCCCCCTAACCATGGCTACAACAGATTGCCCAGGTGACCAACCATAAAATTGTTAATTCATTGCAGTATAATAGATAAAACCTGAAGATAGGGCAACTTCCAGATCCATAGCTGTGGGGAGAAAACAATCTGGGGCACAAGCACTAATTTTACTTCACACCCACTATATGATTGGCATCAGACTGTATTAGGTATTTTGCACAATTAAATCTGGGATTTTTAGATATTGGATTGTTGGGCTTGGCCATGATGGATGGAATTTTTGCTCTCCTAGACTGAGATCTTTTCTAGTAGATTGAATTGTGTTCTTGCCTAGTGGCTGGCCTAGCATTCTATTAATGGAGGTCTGAACATTTGCTAGATTGAAATATGCTTAAAAGTAGATGTCCAACCGAATTTATTAAAAGGTTGACTAGCCTACACACGTGGAATTTATTAAAAGGCTGACTAAGTAGCCTACACAGGTGGAATCTAGAGAAAATATTGCATACTATTTAATTGCCTTTTGAAATGTTTACTGCCCATCTTCAATGTGCAGAGGTACTTTGCTGGCACACTGGTAGTTCTGTGAATTTCTTTTTGGATCTTGAGAGAGACTGAGGAGAAGAGGCTAGGCAAATAATTGGCAAGAAAATCAAATGCTCACAAGTCTGTTAACAATGCATCCTTGTTTACCCACTCTTCGCCTATCTGGATTTCTGAAACTAGATTCCTTAGCTCTGAACTAATGAGCAGAAGAACAGTCTTTTGGTTTTGGGTGCTTGAATTGTTAGCATACTGGAGAGAACACAATTACCTATGTATATCTTAGTTGGGTGAGTGCATCCTGTCACTGTTAGGACTTAGTGGTGTAAAGGGAAGTGAGCTGGGAATCAGTTTATCAGTGGAAGTCTCTGGAATTGGTTCTCAGGTCTGTTTGTGTTCCAGACATTGCAGAGTGAAGAGGTTACACAAATCAAAAGGCTGTTGTTACTCATGAAACCAGAAGTCTGCCAGTCACAATGTTAACATTTTGCATTTGTAAAACAAAGGAGCAAAGACTGCTTCATTTAGTAGATAGGGCCTTGGTTATGAGAAAAATCTAATTTTATTGTGCAAGCTCTTCTGAGTAGTATCTATTTTATAATAAACGTGACATTATTTCATTTAAATTTGGGTTATGATCTGTTAATAAATCTTACATTTTTATTGTAAGAATGAATCAGGCACTGGAATAGGAGGATGCCTTCTGTCTAATTTTGTTTTGAAAGAATCATTTTTTCCTGAGAACAGTGAGGAAAACTAAGGGCAAAATTTAGAATGTCATCCTTGTTACTGAGAGAGCCGAGGTAATGTTTTTAGATGTCATAGATCTGGTTTTACATCTTTTTTGCTCCTATGTGTCATATATAAGCTTGATGGGGAGATTGATCAGATAGCCCTCTTATTTTCACTCTAACTTTTTTCTCTTGTGAAATATTTCCTTGTGGTTATCAATAAAAGCATGATGAAAATTAACTTTTTTTCTCTCTCTCTAAAGATTTTATTGGGACATTGGGGGAGGGGAAAAGTGTTGGAGAATCAGGGAAGGGGAACAGACAAGTTGCTGTCCTTTTGTTCTTCAGTCTAGTTGTGGAGGACGTCGCTTCACTGGCCCATGTTGGTATTATGATCATTGTGCTCTTCCCGGGTGAGGCTGTCGGTCACCAGCCATTGGATGGCCTCGTACAGGGGCTCATGCAGCTCATGAAAGCACACATCAGCTGCCAGCCAGCCCCACTGCAACCGTCGCCGGGGACTCACGGCAGCCCAGCTCCAGGTTGAGCTGTTGTTCACCATCTTAGCTGTAGAGGGTGCAGTGTCACTGGCTCTCATGTGGGATCCGAACCGGCGGCCCTGCTGCTCAGAGCCGGCGTCCCAAGCCAACTCCTAACCAGCACGCCACTTGGCCAACCCAGAAAATTAACTTTTAGTAATTAAAATGTTAAATTTTGTTATCTGCTGAAAAACTGAATTTTTGTTTTTGTTTTCAGCATTGGTTGGATGGTACTAAAAGCATCAAAAAGCAAGTAAAAAGTAAGTTGAAAAAATTGTGAAAAAAAAGGAAATTGAATTATATTATATACAATTATATATTAGTAACTGATTCCTAATAGTGAGGACATAGAAATCATGTTTCAGATTAATTTCTTAGCATCTCTTCTTTCTAAAAACAATTTCAATCTGCTATACTGACCCTAAGTTATATGGGGTTGATGGCAATCTAGATTCAAGTGCCTTATGATTTGTTTCTAAGAGAAAGGCTTACAAGCTTGCAAATGAGTTTGAGTACCGATGAGATGCTTAAGTTTTGTTTAGTAATTTTTTATGTTGGGATTTTACTTTTTGGCATCTGCCATACTCTAGAAAATATTTTGAGACTTTAAGACTGTAAGTTTAAAAAAAATTAAGAATAGTGAAATGAGGCAATTTACATAAAGTGTCAGTATTACCCCTAGCAATAGTTGGGAAAATACTAGCGTTCAATCCATAATCCGTGTTGTCCTGCGTAGTAACAGTTTTCAAGGCACACCAACTCTTGTCTTTACAAAATAATGGGACAACTGAGAATAGGGGTTATCAGAGTAGGTGAAGTGAATTGGAAAGTGTGTGGGAGGATTTGTCATGGGCAATTAATAACAGGCGTTCCTTTGTGCTCTTAAGAAATACAGCTCCGCAGATTTTTAGGGCTGTTAGATTGCACAGTCAGGACTTTTTTATTTGATGTATTTGGCCCTGAACTGTTAGAATTAATTTAGAGCTATCTATTCTTGGGAGGACAGATTACTATGTGATAGTTGGTACATTTTAAAAAAAAACTATCTTTTTGTGTTAGGTTTAATCAAGCCTACAGTATAACCTGAAATATTGTCACAATAACCTGTTATCTTCTGTCCACTTTAATGGATTCTGACAAATTGACTGACTGAAAATTCTTATGTTTAAGTAGTTATTAAAAAAAAAAATTAAAGCTTTTTTTTTTTTTTTTAAATGGCAGTTGGTTCGCCCTATTGTCTGCATTTTCGAGTTAAGTTTTACTCCTCAGAACCAAATAATCTTCGTGAAGAGCTAACCCGGTAAGACAACTATCTAGAGTTGTACATCTATCTAGAGCTGTTTGGTCAGGCTAGCTAAAATGTTGGAATATTGTCTTTATAATTCTTTCAGTTTATAGACAGCTAATGAAATGGATTCCTTACCCCTGGTAACAAGACCTCAGACAATAGAATTTCATTTTGGGACAGTGCTTTTTAAGTGTAAGATTCTTTTCCTTTATCAGTTTTCAAAATAAAGAGTAGGTTCCCTACCATCCTCCAAAGGGAACTAACGAGTTCTTTTTTTTAAGTATCATTATTAACTCGTGGATTTTTTTAAAAGGCTGATGTGTTTCAATATATTAGTGCTATGTTTATTGATGTTCAAAGTGATCTCTTTGGCCACTGGGAGGTTATTTAAGTTTCCTGTATTTTCTTCACATATTAAATGCCATTGATTAATGAAAAATGTTAGATTCTGACTTAAATAGTTTTGGGTAAACTTTAAGTAGGTTATATATATTCATTTTTACTTTTTCCTGCCTCTTTGGTATTTATTCATTGACTATTGCAAATCCATGACTCATTCCACCTATTCTTTAGTAAGTAAAATACTGAGTTATTGAGTCCCTTCAGAAGGGTTTCCTCTTGATTGTTCTGCCGATGAGATTACAGCTATTATCCATAGTTATATACATGCTCGTATGTTAAAGTTAAATCAGCTCACAGAGCTCATTCAGTAATTTGCCTTAAACTTTTTCTCTGTACTATATACTCTGTGGCCTATTATTTCTTGCTGTTATCTGCGGACATGTTACCATCCTGATACCTATTGCCCCTGCTTTCTTCCCCCTACTCCCCCCCCCCCCATTGATAGACTTGATTGTGGATAAAATTCTATAAGAATGTTTCTTCTCAAATTAGAAGGTTAGGATGATTTTTACAGTAGATTGTTCTGTTTAGTTAAATTTGTGCCTTTTGTTTTTCTTAGGTATTTATTTGTTCTTCAATTAAAACAAGATATTCTCAGTGGAAAGTGAGTATTAGTTTCTTGAGGTAAACCATATTTTCTTGAGTAGTTGAAAAATGTTTTTGAAAAATAAGTTCGTAGTTAGTTATGAAAAAGAAATGGTCAACATAAAGTATGTATTTCCATTTATCTTAAAATGAAGGCTGTAAAATTGACTTGTTAATCAATTTGTGTTTTGGCTTCAGATTAGAGTGTCCCTTTGATACAGCAGTTCAGTTGGCAGCTTATAATCTTCAAGGTAAGCAATTCTCATGTTGACTGTTGGGAGTAAAGCATAATTCTTCTAGTATGTGTTCAATTAGAGAATTTCCAAAGATTCAAAGTGATGTAGGAGAAGAGAAACAGCATTGTTTTTGTGTAAATTTTTATCAATATCCAACTCTGACTTATATTTTCACTTGTTTTAGAACATTGTCTTCTTTTTCTTCCCTTTCACTTTATTTGCTCCCTTTCCATCTATATAGTGTTTTTAAACAAAAATTGCAGTCTACTTGATAATTCAGTAAGTGTTATAAATGGACCCTCAGCTAATTTTTTTCCTTAAAAATAATACAGTAATATATTAGTAAGTTGTTGCGATAATCACATGGTTTGCTTTTAGTCTTACTCTTAAAAATGAGTCCATGAAAGAAATACTTAGAGTGTGTTTAAAAGTTCCTGGTGGTATTTTAAAGGATAAAAAAAGGGTTTTCCAATAAATGAGATTAATAATAAAACTCATTTTTTGGTACCTTGTTACACCGATCAAATACTGTTAAACTTAAGCATTTTTTTCTGAAAAATTGATATTTTAGTAAAACTATAATTTCAGTCCTTGTTCCTAAAATGGAAAGAAATATTCTGATTACAATTTTATGCTTTTTGGGGGGTGATTTCCCTATTTATCCTCAACCCCTCTAAGATCAGTAATATTTATTTGCCATTGTATAGATAATAATGACTAAACTTTTAACATTTTATGGTAAAGCTAATATTTTGCTCGTTTTGTGCTCCACTATTTTTAAGAAAGCATATTTTCCTATTGATAGACAAGTTAGTGACTGGAGGAGATTTCTGTACTTCAAAAATGTGCCACTAATATAAATTGTTATCTGCCTGCCTCCATCCACTATCCTAGCCTGGCTATAAAATTAAAACTTTTTTTATTTGCTGAATGTCATCTAGATACTAGTTTGGAAATGTTGTGCCTCTAGCATTGTAATGATCAGAAGTATATAATTGCATACATCTTTTTTTTTTTCTCTTCTTTTTATTTATTGGGGAACAGTGTGTTCCTCCAGCACCCATCGGCTCCAAATCTAGTAGTTGTCTTCAGTCTGTTGTCGGGAAAGTCATGATATATTTTTTCTGTTTTTTGTTGCAAAAATGTGTCTTGACTTTTCCAACAACCCAATAGTTGTGGAGTGCACAGCTCCTTGGCCCATGTGGGAATTGAACCAGCAACCTTGCTCTAACCACCTATGCTAGGTGGCCGCCCCAGCATGCATCTTTCTTGAAAGCCATTTTTTGCATTTTATTAATTCTTACATGAAGTTGTTAATTCTAAAACTTGGATCTACTGAAAAGCTGTAATTTCTAATATCTGTGTTACACCATTTATTGCATCATATAGTCTGTCTTTGTCTCATGTAATTTTCATGATAGGCAAAGTGTATGCTTCTTGAAAATACGATTTTTATACATTTTTGTGTATTTAACAAAATACGTTCAAAGTAGTGCTCACTGAGTACTTACCGCTTGATTCATGCATATGACTGTTATTAGCTCTTAACTCTACTTATATTTTTTTCCTAAATAAAATTTCTTTCTTACTTGCTCTTTTTTTTTTTTTTTTAAAGATTTTATTGGGAAGTTGGGGGAGGGGAACAGACAAGTTGTTGTCCTTCGATCTTAGTTGTGGAGGGCTCAGCAAGCTCAGCTCCAAGTTCAGTCACACCACTCAGCTCAAGGTGCTGTGTTCAGTTAGTTGTGGGTGGGCATAGCCACCATCCCATGCGGGAGTCGAAACAGCAGCCTTGTTGTTAAGAGTGCACGCTCTACCCACTGAGCCATCCGGGTGGCAGCTCAGCTCAAGGTGCCGAGTTCAGTCTTAGTTGCAGGTGGGTGTAGCCACCATCCACCATCCCATGAGGGAGTTGAACAGGCAGCCTTGTTGTTAAGAGTATGCACTTTATCCCCTGAGCCACCTGGGCTGCAGCTCAGCTTAAGGTGCCGAGTTCAGTCTTTAGTTGCGAATGGGTATAGCCCGCCATCTTGAACAGGCAACCTTGTTGTTAGGAGCACATGCTTTCACCAGCTGAGCCATCCTGCCACCTGTTGGCAGCTCAGCTTAGGCGCAGCTCACTGCCCATTTGGCAATTGAACCAGTGACCCTGTTACTCAGAGCTTGCACTCGTAATCAAGCTCTTAACCAGCTGAGCCACTCGGCCACCCCTTATTTGCTCTTTAATCAATGGAGCCATTATTTTGGATTCTTTCAAATTTCATGTTATGTCCTATACATCTCTTTATGCCATGTCTGATAGTTTAACAAATTCTATTAATTCTTTTTTTTTTTTTTTTT